GGGGGGGGGGGGGGGCTTGAAACCTTACTCAGACGTATTGTAACGTCCAGCTACATGTGGTATAATGGAGAACTGTGACTCTCCAAAAGTTTGGTCTAACTTCTTGACCCTTGTACATCATTGTTTAATTCAGCTAAGGAAGGTTTTAAGGGAAAAAAAAGGAAGTCAAAAAACAATTTTAAAGAAACACAAGAAACTATAATATCAAGCACTTATTCCAGATGCTCCTCCCAGTTTTCCGTAGCAATACATCATTTTCAGGGTGGCTTGTGCAAAATGAGATGCATCCAAATAGTCAAATCTAACATGAACTTTGAGGAAGCAAATCCCAATAGATAAGCCTCATCACTAGCTTGCCTGTCACAATGCAGCTTGCCATCCATTCCTACAGTCTTGTGGACCACATACAATATGGATCTTGCTGTTATATGACATCTGCTCCATATCTTATCCTTTTCAAATGTCTTTCATGCCCTTGCATTCATAATTTTGTTTGGTTTGGTGGGTATATTGTTGATGGTCTTTTCTTTATTATGTCAGTCTGTTACAACTCCTCTCACATGCAGGAAAAAGAAAACCTCAGTTAATATTGCTAGACCATGGTCTGTACAAAGAGCTTGACATCCCCACTAGAACCAACTATGCTGCACTCTGGAAGGTAAATTATTGCATATTCTCACAAATTTTATATTCCATGCTAACTATTCTGCGTCTCTCTCTCTCTCTAGGTTATTATACTTCCCATTTTTACCAAACAAATTTCTATTATTTCTCTTACAGGCCTTGGTTTTTTCTGATGCCAAAGCAATAAAGGAAAATAGTATGAAATTGGGTGCTGGGGAAGATCTGTATGTATTGTTTGCAGGGGTCCTCACAATGAGGCCTTGGAATAGGGTCATTGACCCAGCCGTAGATCATCTGGTCTTCCAAGGCAATGACAGTGATAAATCAGAACTTCAGGTGACCATCTATAAATGCCTTGTCAAATGTTGTAACCACTTTGATAAGTGCATTGCTTTGGTGTCTCCCAGGATGTGAATGGTCCAATTGCACTAATTATAAGATTCTCAGAGAGAACAGCCATCCATTAAAATGGGTTATTAAAGAAACTGGAAATCTCACTATGTTTTTGAGAATTTTCTTATTAGTTGGTACCAGATTCAATGTTTTTAAGCGTCATTTGTGAGATAGCTACCAATTCACCCAATGTTTTCCACAGTGACAAATTTAACATTAAAATTCTATAATGGTGTGATGTGCCCATCCAAATTGAAGAAGACTTCCGTCGCCTAATTATTGTATGTCATGTAAATGCATGCTGTTACAAAAACATTTGTTATTTTACTCTCTCTCTCTCTCACACACACACACACCAATCAATTGGAAATTTAATGCTGCACACATTTTAATTACCATTATGTAAGTATGGTAGATTTCATTGTGATACAATTGTTACCGATTTTTAACAATATCTATTATATGTGGCAGATGTATGCTTCTCAATATTTCTCTCAAATCACAGAGCTTCTAAGGAGACTGCCTCGCGATATTCTGTTAATGCTAAAGACAAATGACTGCTTACGGGCCGTCAATAATTCTCTGGTATGATGTGCTTTAACCATTTGTTTTCATTCTATGTTTGCATGATATAAGTTGTTAGGTGTAGGGCATGCATGTTGTGCTACTTTACAATTGGTACTTCCCAAAATCACATATTCAGGGAATCTTTTAAAAGCCAATGAGACTCATATACTCTAACGCACCCCCCTCCCCTCCCCCCCTCCCCCCCGGTGCCCACCACCCACAACAACACACACAATAACAAAAAGAAGAGGGAAAATATAATTAAATACCCTGACTATATCTGGGGCTTCTTGGTTCCCTTCTATTTGCACACTTACCTATGTTTATTACACGAGTGAACAGTTGGGCCTTATACTCTTGCAAATCTAGGATTGTTGGACTTTGTATATTTAGAATTGCTGAATAATTTAAGAAAGCTTAATCTTAAGTGGTCGGAGTCATGTACACAAATTTTCTCTAACTGTTCAACCTTTTCATTTTTATTTTTTTAATTCACTAAAAACTGAAATTTCCAATATGCAAGTTGATCATCATTCCTTTTGTAGTTCCTCTCAACCTTGTGATATCTATGCATTTAATTTTCTTCCCTGTGAATGGTTAAAAAACTTAATACACTTTGTGTTGTTTCACCCTTAACTGCTGCCACCTCTAACCTCACACCTGCAATCCTTCCTTGTTCTATAAGTTTTAATGTTTTGCTTCATCCATTCCAATATCCTTGCCTATTTTTTTGTTTTAATATGGTCATTGTTGAATTTTTTCTCGAATGCCTTCTCCACTTTCAACATCTTGCTTTTATTCCATTGCTTTCACCTCCCTTCTTAAGGTAGGTGATCCAAGATAATGTAATTGTGTGAAAGACCCTCTGGCTTAACCACTAGTTGGCCCTTAATATAGGAAGACTAATATAAGTTGAATGGACTAAATTTGAAGTCTCATAGTGAGTTGTTTGCCATTTTGCATGAGGCCATGCTCCAGAGAGCAGGCAAGCTCAATCATTTACTTTCACTCTTCTCTCATACTCATTTATATTACTTTTGTTATTTTCTTTCATGCTCATTTGCTCTTGCTCTTGTACAATTAGTTGCATATATTCCATTCAATGCAATTTACTGTGAAATGTCCGACATGCCAGTTTTGTAGTTGGTAGGGAATCAGTAAAGTTGGTATACATAACTGGAACTATGTTTTTATAGGCTTATGGAGGCTAATAAAAGCTAGGACCAGTTTTAAATTTGTAAGCCCTATGTTTCTTCTACAGATACAAGGAGCTTCCCTTGAGATGTTTTTTGTCATTGGAAGGGTTTCTTCTGAGGCTGTTATTGAGGCAAAGCTTTTACAAAAGAAGTCCTTCCTACGTTTGATAAATGTCTGGCTGGAGGAAGTTCTGTTAGAAATTAGATTTTCATGTATGCAGATAGCCTACCGTCTTTTTCAACTCAGGAAAGCTTTGACCTGGTGAAAGGAAGTCAGTCAGCATAAACACATTTAGGTAGGGGAAACCCATTTTTTATAAGGTAGATCCTTACATTCTTTACACAGGCTGTTGGTCTCATTCAAACTAGATATATAGTTTGAGCATAGATTTGGAACTTAAAACGCCCTGGAGGGGTGTTAGGCATATTCTTTGTCTTCTTTTTGATAGATAAAAAAAAAACATGATGTTTGGTGATACATGATTTGTTGTAAAATCCCATCAATGGGGGGCATTTGATTATATTGATGTAACAAATAATTTTTTGGGATGTTGTATCTGATAAATAAAATCTGGGGATTTTAGACTTGTTTCAGCAGCTGGTGACAGGATATGAGATTTCATGATTCATGGTTTTGTTTCAATAAATGCAATCCAAAGAAACAGGACCATGTTGAAACGTTATTGATAAGGTTTGGTTTTTGGTCCGTGGCTCATGGCCTAATATGTTAGCTTGGCTGACTACAGGTCATGGGTTGTGTCGGATCGCATTCTGGGCAGGACGTGGGTTTTACACGCATCCCAACTCGGTTTGTCAGGCTGACCCAAGTTGTCCCAGAAAGTCGGGTAGTTGGCCCGGCCTGTCTGTCACCTATCCAAAATGTCTCATGGGTTGCCCCCAAGAAGAATAGGATAAACTCTTTATGTATTTTATTTTTTAGGCACCGAGAAAAAAAACATTAATGTTTCGTTTGGTAGAAAATATTAGGAGTGTAATTTGGGCGGGTTTACTCGAATTCAATCCGAGCTCAACCTGAAAAAAATAAGGTTTGGGTTAGAATTTTTAAAACTTGGGTTGAGTTTGGGAAAAAAAATTTTAACTCAAATTGAATTTGGGCAAGTCTCGGGTTATAGGGTTGAACTCGAATATACATAAATATATTTAATTAGAGTTAGTATTTATCTTTATTCTTTAGAGTCAAAATTTTTACTTTACTTTAAGTATTCACTCATGCGTCTCTATCACTCTTCAAATCCTTCTCCCAGTTGTCACTCCTTCCTCTCTTATCCTCCCTCTTTCACTCATCAGTCATCTTTCTCTCTTTTCTTTCTTCATCTGCATCTCGCTTTCATTTTAGATCACTTGAAAAAATTAGATTTATACTTGAAAAAATTAAATCTACACTTTAAAAAATTAACCCGAATTAAGTAACCCAAGTCAACTCAATTTTAATTCAAAATCAGCCCAAATTTAACCCGAGCTCGCTCGAATTAAACTCGGGTAGTAGTCGAGTTGAGTACCTAGGGTTGAGGTAGGGTTAGGGTCAATGTTAGAGTTAGGGTTATAGTTGAAGATTATATATCTAGGGTTGGGTTAGGGTTAACCTCTTATCCTGTCCAATCTGCCCGACTTGCTCCCTTAGGAATGATGGAAAGTAAGAGGAATACACTTTCTATCCTTCAAAGAAGGAAAGTAGGAATGATACAATTTCCTTATTTTGTGTTTGGTTGGATGGCTGGAAAAACAAAATTTTTAATTTTTTTTTTTTTTTTTTTTGTGTTGGCTAAGAATAAGAGTGACAATCTAGTTGTGTCGTATCAGATTCGTGTTAAGTTATTAAGGATTTGTGTAGAACATTAATCAAACCTAACTCAACTCATTTAATTAATTGTGTCGTGTCAAGTTACGAGTTGACATGTTTATTTTTGTGTCGTGTTCGTGTTTGTATTCGTGTTGATCCATTTTTAATTAAAAAATAACCCAAATTAAATCTACACTTTAAAAAATTAACCCGAATTAAGTAACCCAAGTCAATTCAATTTTAATTCAAAATCAGCCCAAATTTAACCCGAGCTCGCTCGAATTAAACTCGGGTAGTAGTCGAGTTGAGTACCTAGGGTTGAGGTAGGGTTAGGGTCAATGTTAGAGTTAGGGTTATAGTTGAAGATTATATATCTAGGGTTGGGTTAGGGTTAACCTCTTATCCTGTCCAATCTGCCCGACTTGCTCCCTTAGGAATGATGGAAAGTAAGAGGAATACACTTTCTATCCTTCAAAGAAGGAAAATAGGAATGATACAATTTCCTTATTTTGTGTTTGGTTGGATGGCTGGAAAAACAAAATTATTAATTTTTTTTTTGTGTTGGCTAAGAATAAGAGTGACAATCTAGTTGTGTCGTATCAGATTCGTGTTAAGTTATTAAGGATTTGTGTCGAACATTAATTAAACCTAACTCAACTCATTTAATTAATTGTGTCGTGTCAAGTTACGAGTTGACATGTTTATTTTTGTGTCGTGTTCGTGTTTGTATTCGTGTTGATCCATTTTTAATTAAAAAATAAATCTGAATTTTTAATTAAGATGGAAAAACTATTTTATTTTTAATTTAAAATTTTTGTTTTTATTTTTTATTTTAAAATTTATTTTAAATGTTTTTTAAAAAAATATATATATTAATACATATTTTATCATTGTATTTTTATATGAAATTAATGTATACATAATATATATATATATCAAAAAATACATAGACAAATAAAATACTTTTTAATACAAATAATTAACTTTTCAGCCACTTTTTTTTTCGATTTTAGAGGGATTGATTTTGGTGAGTTGGAAGGAAAGTTAATTCATCTACTTTTTTATCCTTCCTATTTTCTTTCCTTACCAACACATGATATTTTATTTATCCTTTTAATTTTTCATCATTTTATTTTTTCATCATACTAAATGAAGCATAAGAAAAAGACCGATGCTTTTAGAATTTAAAATTTTTACCTAATTTATTATGGTAGTGACATGAACGTCTGACATTATTGTTATCGTAACAATTGAATTTACACATCATTAGGTGGGCAATTAAGTCTAATGCTTCGTTTGATATGAATGATGGAAAGTAAGAGGGATACATTTTCTATCCTTCAAGGATAAAAAGTAAGAATGATACACTTTCATTCTTTTGTGTTTGGTTAGATGGATGGAAAATAAAAATGACAATTTTTTAAAAAAAAATAAAAATTGTCTAATATTAGGGGTGACAATCGAGTCGTATCGTATCAGATTTGTGTTGAGTCATAAAATTATGAGTTTTTTATATTTTTTGTTCGCATGTCAGGTCATTTTCAAGTTCGTGTCGAGTTCGAGTCTTGTCATCGTGTTGAGTCAAAAATTTTCACCCTTAGTTAAGATGAAAAAAATATTTTTTTTAATTTAAATTTTTATTTTTTATTTTTTTCAAATATATATATTTTATCATTGTATTTTTATATGAAATTAATGTATACATTACATATAAACACATAAGATACATCTTAACACAAATAATTAATTTTTCATCCACTTTCCTTCTAATTTTGGAGGGATTGATTTTGGTGAGTTGGAAGGAAAGTTAATTCATCCACTTTTTCATCATTCTTATTTTTCTTCCTTCCCAAATATAATGTTTTATTTATCCCTCCAACTTTCTATCTTTCTATTTTTTCATAATACAAAAACGGAGCATAAGTAATATTATTAGTTTTAGAAAAATGGTTTTCGTGTTCTAAACTTGTTAAATTTGAGTAATTTTTTAGATTTATTTAGAAAAGCAAGCCTAAAAGATTCGCCTTGAACTCACAAAGTTCGGTTTATCTATATGTGAAATTGTCAAATTACTCGGGCTCGAATTTAATTCATTTTTTAAATTAATCGAGTTTGAACAATTTTTTAAACTTGTTTAGAAAAACGAGCTCGACTAATTTGTTCTCAAGCTCGCAAAGTTCGGCTCGATTAATACCCTTAATCCTGCAATAGTGGAATTTTTTAAATCTCACGTATGAATTCAATTAATGATAATTATATTTTTATCCTAATTTCAATTGTAGTGTTTCAATTATGGGTAAGTTATAGACCATTTTTTTTTATTGAACGGTTAGAAATATTCATAATAGATTATCTATACCGAGACTATGGTATTTGTGAAGGATAAATTTTTTATAATTTAACCTTAAAAAATTACTAAAATTTAAATTTAAAACGTCTAAATTTATTGTTCGTTTTTGTTATCAATTGATTTACTCTTTAAAATTTGAGCAATGCCATTAATATCTAATTTACTGATTTAATTCATTGTGACATTTAGATTCACTATAGACCTTATCAAATATTGAAATTTAATATTAATTCAATAATTAATTCTAATAAAATTATATTGTTATATCAATAAATTAAATCAAATATTTAGATAAAATATTATTTTTAGCCGGTTAAAAGCAGTGTTGTCAGAACCAGACCAGACTAGTCAATCCAACCGGTTCAACCGTGAACCGGGACCCTAACCGGTCCGATTCCGTAGTTGAACCACCAAAGAAAGTAAACTGACAGAAAATTGAAAAATTGGTTGATTTTTAGCAAAAATCGTGAACCGACGACAGTTTAATGTCCATTTAAAAAATAAATTGCATAAACGAATTAAATCTACAGCTTTTTGTCATAAATCAGTATTTGAGGTTTTTTTTTTGCCCTAAATTAGTCCCTAAATCAGTAAATCGTAGTCGTAGAAGGCAACACCACCATTACCAGGCTCCAGCAGTCTAGCGACCAGGGAGGCAGGGAGTCTTAGATTGCGATCGTCGATCAGCCACTGCTCCAGTGACCAAGCTCCAGCAAACAAGCCCCTGCGAGTTAGCGACCAAGTGACCGACGAGGAACTCCGGTGGCTGCGATCAGTGAATTCAGGCAACCAACGATCAGCGAACTCCAGCGGCTGCAATCAATGTCTACTGCTTCTACCAAACTGTAGACAAAAAATTGTCTGTGCTTCTATCACACGTTGTCTTCATCCATACTGTATATATGATTGTAAATTTTATTAATTTTACAAAAAATTTTATGCATTTTAGACATATTTTATACTTTTTAGTTAAATTATTATGTTTTATAATTATATATATATATTATTTTTTTTATTATATAATCGATCTGATCAATGACTCACTGGTTAAACCAATGCACTATTGATTCGATTTTTAGTTAGTTGGGCGATCGAATCTGATAACATTGGTTCAAAGGAAGCATCGTCGTGACGTGGTTGCGACCGGGCGGCATGGGGCCAGAATGAATGAGACGTGAGAGAGCACCAGTGGTGGTGTGACTGGTGTCGACTTTTGCCTACAAAGTCGGCCTTTGCATTTATGTTGGGAGGTTACGAATTAAAGGCGGTGGATGTACGTAGTCTACTCACTTACTCATTATGGAATGGCAGCGTTGTTTGGTGTGGTGTTTACACCCATTTTACTGTGCAAATGCCTCGACCATTACAAAATCTACAAACATGTCATGTCATATCATACTCGCCCGTTTGTATATTGTTCCATACTCGCTCTTTCAATTAACAACGTTGTTGTTTTTTCGTTCACTTAAATATATGATCCGTCAAAAAAATATATATATACATATTTAAGTGATGCCACCGAGACTCGTAAATGTAGGAAAATTTCAATTTTTTTTTGGGTTTAACAATAAGATGTATTCAAGCTAACTTATGAGTATTTTAATTAATCTCGTTTTTAGTTTAGTCAAAAACAGATCATCTATGTTGGAATTAATATATTCATGAGGGATAAATCTCTTATGACTTAACTTTAATAGATTGTCAAAATTTAAATTCATAATATCTGAATTTATAATTCGCTTTTGTTATCATTTGAACTACGTAATCCTTGGGGTTACAGTATTCCTAATTGCGAGAAAGGAATGAAAACATTGTCACTGCAATACTCTTGTTGGCACGTAATTGGGGTGGAAGTAGATTTATCACTTGAGAAATTCATAACTAAAATTTTAAAAAAAAGATATATTTATTTAGATTAATGAAGATCTGTATATGTATTGATTAAAACTGATGATTCATTTCATATTTTAAAACACTTCTAAAACTGCCGAGAATTTGTTGGAGATGAGATTTTGAATCATAAATGGTCTAACCTCTTAGAGGCAAACTTGTACACGCAATGGCATATATATCATTTATGATTCAAAACCTCACCCAACATTTAGTTATACACAAGGATCTCTTTTTCTTTTTTCTTTTTTTTTTCTATTTTCTATTTTTTTCAATCTTACTCAAATAGAGAGTGGGTGGGATGTAGTTCCTAAATAGCAGAATTACAATAAAGAAAAAGTTATTCAAATGCCAAAAAATAAAAGAGTAGAATTGAAAGTCAAGCAAGAAGAAAGGAGGCTAGTCCCCGAAAATGCTCCATCTGTAGATTCATTTTTCGTTAGAGCATGTGGTTCACTTTTTGACTTATTCCTTCGACCGAGTCTTCTTTGGGCATCGATCATTTATCTCTCAGAATATTTTTATTGATTGGTCATGTCATACAAGGACCCTAGTTGAACATTCAATTGTTCTGATTTGAATTTTCTGGAAAATGCCTTGTATAGACACTAAATCTATCAAAAAATAGATAATCAAATCTATTTTTTGATTCTATAGAAAGTTCAAAGTAGGTCCTAACTAAAGAGACATGTGTAAAAAGTAGGTTTGATTATGACTATTCATAATCATAAATGGAATGTAATAACACTTTTAAAAAAAAAAAGGAATAGAATGATGCAGGGATTTATATATAAATACTAGTTATTGCCTATGTCTGAAAATACATAGTAATAAAAAATAAAAAATAATAAACATATTTGTATTTATATCCAAAATCAAATCACAAATATAGAGAAGAGATAAAAAAATTTAAGAATTAATTTGTAGTGAGAATGAAAGGTGGTGGGCGACAATGATGATGGTAGAAGATGGTGATGGTTGTGATTGGTGGAATTGATCGTGATGGCGGTAAGGGCAGTGGCGGCGACAGTAGTGGTGGTGGCGACGACAGTGGCAGTGGCAGCAGTGGTGGTGGCGGTGGTAGTAGTGGCGATGGTGGTGGTGGCGGCCACGATGATAGTGGTGGCGATAGTGGTGGTGGTGGTGGGGGTAGAGGTAGTAGGGGGACGATTTCAAACACTATTTTTTTTTAAAAAAGTCAATCCAAATACACTCTTAAGAGTCTATTTTTTTCTATTAAAATTTAAGGTGTTAATATTAGCCGTTAGATTAACTTTAAAGTAAAATTTAAAACGATCTCAACCGCGAATAATAAAAGTCATTTTGCTTATCTTTTGAGATTTGAATTGTAAGGTATTTTATTATAACTCTCTCCATTCCTAAATATCTGTCGTTTAAGATTTTTGCACAGGGATTAAAGAAACTATTAAATAGCTCTAGTATGAGTAAAAAATAATTATATAAGACTAAAATACCCTTATTCAATACGTTTTGGGAAGAAAATAAATATGAAAGACACTTAATTTATTAAGCACTTATTAGAAAACAGAGATAATGATAAATTTGGAAGATAAATATTAATTATGTTTTGGTTTCATAAAACGACAGATATTATGAAACAAAAAAAATTGGATAAAACAACAGATATTTAGGAACGAAGGGAGTAGATAGTATCTAAATAGATACACTCTAATTGGATATAAGACTCAAATTCAAAGAGTTTTAAGTTAAAAATTAATCTTCTCCTATGTAATCTTTGTATATTTGGTATAAAACCTACAATATATCCGTCAGAAGTATAATAAAAAAGAGAAATATGTTCTAATTTCTAATATTTAAATGAGAATGCCCTAAATTTGCCACAAATTGGATGTTGTGGTTTTTGAAAATTTATGGACGTGCATGTTCTAGCAAAATGAAACAAAGAAAAAAAAAGTTATTTACATTTTTAGGATCAAGTAAATATTTTTCTTGGTAATTTCTATGATACTTTTTTTTTGGGTAATGTATCAAAATTACTATTTTTAGATTGAAAAGTAAAATTATAACTGCTTGAGATAATTGATGATAGATCATAAAATATTATGATTGATCATGAGTACCTCCAATCAATTTTAATTTAGTCTTTAAAAGATATTACTGAACTTTTAAAAATTGTATGATCAATCATAAATATTTTAAAATTATTTATATTTACTCAACAATTAAAGGTGTCTAAATTAATTTATAGATATCTCGATTTTTTTTTTTTAATTTAGTCAAATGAAGACTATTTATGTTAAAATTAGAATATTTATGGGAGGTAGATTTCTAAAGTCATTAGCTTTGTATTTTTCATTATCAAATTGTACGATTTTTTCGACCAAACGTCGTAGCATAAGAGCGAGTAGGAATTTTCCACCTACATCCGCGAGTAGGCCCTTGACAACCACACTCAACTACGCCACTCTTCCATCGGAGTGAAAAACTTGTGCAGTTGGTAGCGTTAAACAATCTGTTTCATGACTTCATAGTCCCAGAGAGCGAAGTAGAAGAAGAAGAAGAAGAAGAAGAAGAAGAATAAGCAGAAGAAGAGAGAGATGGTCGGACCACAGAGACCACAGTTCGTGCTATTCGGATCGTCAATAGTTCAGTTAAGCTGCAGTAATGGCGGTTGGGGTGCTATTCTCTCCGATATCTACGCCCGTAAAGTAAGCCCCACTCTGCCCTTACATTGTTTTCTCTCTGATCCTCGAACGTGACGGTATCAGAATGCAAAGTAATTCAATCTACATTTCTGTTTCATATTTTCTGATAACAATCTCGTCAAAATCCCGAAATACTTAGATTTGTTCTTTGAATCAAACGTTGAGATTTTTAAAGAATGTCACTGCAACTTTGGATTTGAGAGCAAAGTTAATGAGATTTAGGAAATAAGAACAATGTGTTTTGGAGAAAAAATCTAAGCATCTGGAGAGTAAAAATTTTCCAGATGAACTTATTTGGGGTTTTTCTTATTTGCATTATAAGAGGATACTCAGTTAAGCACCCAAGGTGATCATGGCATTGAGCCTCATTCATAGTGAATGAAATTATATTCAGAGTAAAGAAAACTTTGCCTACCCGGTTCGGGATTAGAGACTAATAAATTTATTTAACCTCGTTTGATGAAAAGGCACATGATTTTGATCATTTGCCTTCGTGTTCGTAATTCAGTTCATATAGCATTGCTCTGTAGTCTTGAAATTTTAAGAAGCACTGAACTGAATGGGTGGAACTTTTAAGGGCGTTAGCATTTAAATCTCTTGATAATTCTTCGTTAAATTTGTGAAATTCCTTTTGAAATTGGACTTTCTAAGCATGGGCCGTTAATAGTTCATGATTTGGGAATAAAAATCTTATTTCTCAATAGCCAGGTTCCATATGATTCTCAGACTAGGGTGCTCAATCTTCTAGCTGTTGATGCATTTATGTATCGGACTTACGTTCTGCAAACTTCATATGGAAACTGGTTTTCTGTTACTAGTGGTAACCTTGTAATATTATGGAGCCAAAACTAGGTCAAAAAAAAAAATCTTATGGGTTTACTCTAAATTTTTATGTTTTTCAATCTTTTCTGGTGATCCTTTGTAGGCAGACATATTGTTGAGAGGATACTATGGTTGGAACTCACGACGTGCTCTTCAGGTCCTTGATAAAGTTTTTCCAAAGGTATGGTATGATTGGCTGCAAATTTTATCTGCTGTAAAATATTTAAGCAACTATTTTGTTGGAAAGAAAGAGCTGACATGTTATACAAGGTGTGAATTGGTTGTTTTTGCTCTATCTGGTTTCAAAATGCATAAACATATCAAATATGTTTATCTGATTTTAATTTGGTTCTTAAGGTATATGGCCTTTAGCTGTGCTCTGATATGAGTTTGGTGTCTGTTTTTTTTGTAGGATGCTGCTATTCAGCCTTCATTGGTGATCGTATACTTCGGTGGAAACGATTCAATGGGACCTCACTCATCTGGACTCGGTCCTCATGTACCACTTCTAGAGTATATTGAAAACATGAGAAAAATTGCAATCCATCTCAAGGTATATGTTGTTTTGTATACATCCTTTTTATATGTTGTATTGTATACTTCCATTTTAGACTGAGTGAAAATGATCTTTCGGTTGGGTTCTGTGACTTTCTGGAGGGTATCTGTGGCAAACCTTGCACTCCTATTGGATATTCAGAATATCTATGGCTGCCAAATTTCACATATCTTATTTTTCCTAGTGATTTATGCACAAGCTCATGGGAGCATTTGGAAAGTCCATGGAGTCAAAGTGATTCTAACAAATTACTGAAAAAAAAAATAAGTGATTGAAATCATCTTTGATATTTCCATATTAGACAAATGTGTTCAATCTGAAATGCAAAAAATTATTAAAGAACAGGGAGAGGAGCTTTCAATTTCTGCTATGACCTTGTTTTAGTGTGTTGAAGTGCCAACTTATTGGGGACAACAACTAAAACTTACTCGCCGTTTTCTGTAGCAAAATAGAAATATTTTGATTTCATTTACTGTGGTTTTAAAATGCCCCCCCTAGATGTCTGAAATTATGCAGTTGATTGTGGCTGTATTTATGTTGATGGAACCATGCTTAGGCCTAAATGATCAGGTCCTTCATCCAATTAAGGTTTGTTTGATTCATGTTCAAACGCTATGTCTGCTTAACAGGGCCTTTCAGACACGACCCGCTTAATTTTTCTCAGTTGTCCACCAGTCAATGAGATCAAGCTTCGTGAAAACACGAGGTATTCTGATGTGAATCTTGTATGTCTTGTTTCTCAGTTCACTTTTATGGAATCTTTCCTAAATTAGTGCTTGACCCCACCCCCAAAAATAAAAAAAAACCACCACAGTTCATTTTTCAGTGAGCTAATCCGAACAAATGAGTTATGCCGAAGATATTCAGAAGCTTGTATAGAATTGTGCCAGGAATTGGGAGTGAAGGCTGTTGATCTTTGGACTGCATTTCAGAAACGAGACGATTGGCTGACTGCTTGCTTCACGTAAGTGTGCTTAGGCATGTTTTTGTTTGGTTCATATTGTTTACACTATCAACATGAAGATCTGTATTTCAGGGAGATATAAGCTGTTTATTGAGGTTTTTTTTCCCGTTAAGTCTGTTTATCGAGGTTTACAACCAACCAACCAACCAAACTGTGCATATGACTCAAATACATATCATGCTGCTGATGAAAGAAATGTGATATGTTGTTAGCATGACTCGAATAGGTGGATCTTTGTTGCAAGTATTTAAAGCCTTCTACACCTTTTTAAACTAAGGCTGATGAAGCCTCCGTACCACTTTTCATCTGTAAGGAGATTAGGTTGATTTTTGCACCATGTGTTCTATTCTACATCATGTTGTTGGCTGGCAGCTCTGTACACATTCCTCAAGTAGTATTGTATATTTGCTGGCTTAAATCAACTATTTAGCAAGCTGTGCTTGAAGAATTAATCCTCTGAAACCCTGACGCTGGTCATTCCCTTGTTTAATCTGGTTGAGTTTTGCCGGCATAAGAAATCTTTTTACCTTCCTTCTGGGTACATAGTTGCAGGATGTATGTATCTGGTTATGAGTCCATTTCATCTGCTCATGGATCTTACGTGCCGTCTTGTTGCTAGGAAACCATCCATCAATCTTTCTTGTTCCTTTGTTGGCCTGTCTACTTTTGGTGCAGATGGCTCTCATACTGGTTCGAATTTTCTTCACTTCAAAAAATTATGTTTTTACTGTTTCCCAACTGCAATATGGTGCACAATATTGTGCTGCCACCACATGGCAAGAGTTTTTGACTACACAAGGGTGCTCTGTTTTAGTATAGGCAGATGCCTCTTTACGTTTTTTTTATCATGATGCCTCTTTACGTTGGAAATGCAAAAATTACCTTCGTTTAATGGGAATGTCTCCTCTTTTCGGTTACTTTATATCTATTGGGGGAATACCTTTAGGTAGACTTTTCCCAGATGAGATGTTCTGTTCCATGGGTTTCTGGTGACCTTCGATTTTCACAGATGCTCTCAAATTTATAATTTTTCCTCTATGCTCATCGATTGTGATTCATGGGCACACCTGAACGTGATTCTGTTGTAGATGTAGAAAGCATTCCATGTTTTATATACCATCGACAATATTAGTAGTTGTCTGAGTGATGGAACAAATATGCGTGCGAAGATGTTCATGTTCGTAACTATTTCAAAGTATACATGTCAATTGGCTTAGGAGATGACTGAATGCATGCTAGAACTTGAAATCAAAACTCCAAGTTGCTGATTTATTCTAGAGTGCTTTTATTAGTGTCAAGCCATGCTTTTCAACACATACCCAGTAATTGTGGTGAGAGCAACACAACAGGAATCAGGTGCTTAAGGAATGTGAGGCTGTAAATTAAACACAAGTTTACTTCAGACATCTGATCAAAAGCCTCACAATTGTCTTTCTTTTCTACAGGGACGGGGTTCATTTATCAGCGGATGGGAGCAAAATAGTTGTGGAAGAGATACTCAAGGTGCTCAAGGATGCTGAGTGGACGCCATGTCTACACTGGAAATCCATGCCCACCGAGTTTGCAGAGGACTCACCATATGATCTCGTTGCTTCTGATGGAAAAACCACTCTAAATCCATCTGAGTGGACCTTTCACAGGGAAATTCAATGGGATTAAACTTGCAAAGGGACTTGTGCCTTTGTTCTCCATTCCTATTGCTAGCTAGAGTTGTCCGACATAAGCCAAGGATGCATCGGACGTACAAAAAGATGAATTAAAGGAATAGAACTGAGAATTTTTGGTACAACTGCGGTTCTTGACTATGTTTTATTGAATATTACAAAGGGTGGTGTGGTGAAGATGATAATCATCCCAATCTATTGAAAGCTATTTTATTTGATTTGTTGGCAATCTGGGTTCCAAATCTTCCGTCTTATACTGTACTCTGCACTTTGGGTGGGATGCCTCAAAGCCTGACCTTTATGGTATGGTCTTATGGGGGAGTCTGCCAACTGGTGTGTTATTGAATATCAATAACTGAGTGTTGTTGTCAAAGAATAACGACTATCATTGGTTCTGTGCCGATAGAGTGGGCTGTCGTGGATATCTGTTATAGGCATGGTTATAGGTATCGGCCGAGTTGTATCCGCCTCGGCCACTGCCGATACGATAACGGTACGCGAGTCAAAGAAATCTCAAAATGAATAAACATCGGCGGTATCTCGTGCGTCTCGGCCGAAATCAAAGGACTCGGTCACACATCGATTGACTCGGCCGATTTTCATCTGAATCATACCGATTTGGATGTAAATCGTTCGATCACACCAAAAAAACAGAGTGTGCCAAAAAAAAAGGCAAAAGGGAAGAAGTAGCATAATTTTATCGAAATTGTTTTGAGTCCTAAATCATAACAAGTTAGAAGAAAAATCGAAATAATTGCAAGACATACCTGTTATAATCGAAGACACAAAAAGTCTTAGCATCATCGCAAAAGTCCCCTCTTTCATCTTCTTCATCATCGCAGAATCCCTAACATCACAAATGAGTCAGAAACTCAGATCCCTCCCAACTAGCCTTCAGCGACCAGAATCGACTCCCGGACCCCAATCGTCTCTCTCTCTCGTCTGTTCTCGGTTCGTCGATGAGTTTAAGTCTCTCTCTCGCGTATGTTCTCGGTTCGTCGTTGCTCAGAATATGTGAGAATTTGGCCTTATAAGGAATATGACCCAAAAATATAGTTGCCTCCCCCTCTTTTTTTCTTTTCTCTTTTGGTTCCTAATAGTCCCACAATTCAAACCATTTTGGTCAAATTTTTAGTATTTACCATATAATATAATTAGAACTTAACTTATTAAGATTACTTTTGTATATGTAATGGAAGATTTAATAGTTAAATATACATAATGAAAAAAATAAATATAATTTCTATTTAGATATACATTAAATAATTAAATGAAGAATTTATTTATAAGTAGATTTTCATTTTTAAAGCTATTAAGTTAACCATATATATACACTTATATATTTTTATAATTTTTAAAAATTATAAGTTAAATTATATTAATTAAATTATATTAATATTGAATATAGATGATGACAAATATTTTCCGGTAGCGCATTTATTATTCTTTTTTGTAATGATTAATGTGTTAAATAATGCCTTATGGGGATATGATGCATGCATGATGATATTTATATTTATTACAATTTTTTCTAATTTTTACTAAATTTTTTGAGCTTTCTATATAGCGTTTTGAGCGTATCGGCCGATACAGCGTCGCGATATCGCAATCGATGTGTTTCAATGGTCCCCGAGTCAAGGGCCGATACTGCGACGTTGAACCATGGTTATAGGAGTGCAACCTCGTATGTGTTAGACACCTCTTCTTCCTTGGGTGGAATGTTGATTCTGAGTTGAGAGGATCGTATATCATCGGTTACATTTCCAACATGTTATTTGTGCTACTTTGGAACTGCTCCTCTAAGGAGCTGCAAATCTCTATCAATCAGCCGGTGTTTGAATTTTGGTAATTTCTTGAGATCAGATCATGAGAGAATTAGTCTTCATAAATATTTTATTATCGATGTGGATAATCTGTCTTTGACCAAATCAAAGAGTGAATTAATCAAGATGCATATAAGCTGACTCAAACACCGTTGACTATTGAATTAAAAAACAAAAAACCCTGCTAGAGTTAGATTGATTCCAAAAGTATGGATTGATTCAAGTTATTGATTTATAGATATTCATGTTAAGACACCTCCAAATTCAAGGGATAAATTTCAATTTGAAGCAATTGCATTGTACGATCAGGTCGGGTTGTATTATTTGTATGAACTTCTACGTGGAGCTTTTGTGACTTAAACTAATAACAAAGAAGAAAGAAAAAAAAATATGAAAAAAAGCTTAGTCGAGTTTAAAGATAGTGATTTGACTACTCTCCAAATGGCTAGGACTCGACCAAACTAGCAGGTCTGTATTTTACAAGAAGCACAAAAGAAAATTGAAATGAAGCGGGTGTACTAATGTGATTAGATTCTGATCATTCAAAAAGAATTCGAAAGATCCTTCAGCCATCCCCAATTATAGAGCATCAAAATATTGTTCATGGGGCTTGGTTTATAACAAATGTGGATTCAATCATATTTCTGGCCCCTAAAAAACAAAAAAAAAAGGAGCTTGAAACAGTGATAAAGATTGCTATTTTTTTAAGAAAAAAATATTAATTACAATTGATCAAAAAGTGACTTAGAAATAAGAACAATTACTAACAAATTAAAAAGACTGAAGATGAAGTCTTGTACAGCCTTTTAATAAATAGAGTCAAATAATAGGCGATTTTGGCACAACTTGCTCATTGGTGAAGAGTATTTAAGTTTGAGCTCGATTCGTTTTGTCAATAAAAAAACTTTGACGAGCTTCATTAAAAGTCAATCGATGAACAACTCCGTTCATTTGGACCCTATATTTAATAAAGAGTCAAATAGTTAGACTGTTCGAGTTCTGCTTGTTCATTCGTGAAGAATATTCAAGCCGGAGCTCGATTCATTTTATCAGTAGACAAACTTGACGACCGATCGATGAACAATTCTGCTTATCTGGACCCTATATTCATCTGCAGTTATCAATTCCGAGATCTTGGACTACTGCAAACAAGACATAAAAAAAGGGAACATAACCTTAAATGTGATAGGGGATGGGTAACCACCTATGTAGGAAAATTCTGACTTGATCGTTCATTCCTATTCGCCAGCAGTCAAGTAATGACTTTTCTGCATCTCCAAGTATAGGAAGGCAAACATCTATAATTTCCTACCGGCCTTTTGTACATGGATTAGTTATTGACTGTGTACGAAGGTGCGAAGTAATAAAAAAATGATTAGTAATAAATATATTTGTATTTATACCAATTATAGTGGGAGTGAGCAATGGTAATAGTGGTTAATGATAGTGATAGTGGTGAAAGAAGGTAGTGGTTGTGATGAGCGGCAACGGTTGTGGTGGTGGTGGCAGCTGTGGGTGACAACGGTGATAGTGATAGTTATAGGTAACAATGATTGAGGTGGTGGACAACGGTAATGATGGTTAGCAGTAATGGTGTGGCGGAAGTTATGGGTTGTGGTGGTGAGCGACGACGGGTGCTTTGTGAACGACAATGGTGATGAGTGGTGGTGAATGGCGGTGGTGATAAGTGTGGTAGGGGTGGGTGATAGTGGTTAACGACGATGTTGGGTGACGACGGGTGGTGGTGAGTTGTGGTAGTGGGTGGTGGTGCGCAATGATGGTAGTGGTGGGTGTTGGCGGTGGGCGATAGTGGTAATGGGATGATGGTGGTAGTGGTAATAAATATAAGAATAAGATGAAGATAGTAGTAGATGATGATGGTGAACAACAGTGGTAGCAATCGGTTGTGGGTGGCAATGATAGTGGTGGTGGTGGGGTAGCAACAGTGCCAATGGTGATGGTTGTGGGTGTGGTGGTAGGGCGATGTGTGTAGGGGTGATAGGGGTAATGATGAGACAATGGTGGTGGGGTGGCAATAGTGATGCTAGTGCTGGTGATGGTGGGGCAGTGGTGGTTGTTGTTGCAGTAGAGGAGGTGGGGTGTCGACGATGACAGTGGTAAAGGTGGTGGGGGTGGTAATGGTAGTGGTGGTGACAGTGGTGGTGGTGGGACGATGGTCATGGTGGCAGAGGCGGTGGTAGTAGTGATGGTGGTAGTGGAACTGTTCCAAACACTATTTTTTTTTTAAATACTTATGAAAAATTATAAGTTTTAGAAACACTTTTAAAAAATAACCCCAAACACGCATTAGTGGTTATTTTTTCTATTAAATTTTAGGAGTTAATATTAACTATCGGATTAACTTTAAAGTGATCCCAACCGCGAAAAGTAAAAATTATTTTATTTATTTTTTAAGCTTTTAATTGTATTGTATTTTATTATATAGATGAAGATAAAGCAAGAAGGAGTGAAATTTTGTAATTTTTTTTTGGTACAAAAAATAATATGTCCCTCAACACTACACAACTATCTGCTATCTACAAGAGATTTCACCGTACTTATGTTCAGAGTTGAAACTAAGATCTCACTGTATGTTCTGGGTGCTAAATAATAGGTTTAGCTTCACTAAATTGTCTTAGCTATGGGAATTCGAATCCAAATAGTGAACGTTAAAATTCGAGTTCTTACCTTCTAGATCAATTGCTCGGTAGTGTGTAATTTTGTGAACATCTGTTTGTTTCTTCAACTTCCGTCCCATAGTTTTAGAAGAGATTGTCTACTGATGTGGTTAAATTTCTAGCCTTTTTTTTTTTTCTTGAGGATTCTCCTTCGGATGGATACTTATCACTTCCTTTTCTTTTGTTTCCTGATAATAGGATCTCCACTGCTACTGATACAGCCAAAGACAAACGAGTTTAAAAAGTTGCATAATCGTTGTATTTTGGTTTAAAAATGACAGATTTCATAGTTAATTTTATAGAACTCGTTGAAAACTTCCCAAAATGGGGGTGTTGAGCAATTATTTTAACTCCTTAAGTGCAATTTGTCCCCGTCAACACTGCTTTCGATGTTCCTAATCTATCATGTTGTGTTCCGCAAATAAGTGTTGCATCAGCTACCTTGATTAAGGCTTAACCGGCCCATTTATAGTAAACTATTGACCTCAAAAAATTTTAAATTTTAAATTTTAAATTACAATTTGTCCGTGGTCTTCCTCAACAAAGACAGCTTCCAGAACGTAGACTACTCTATCGTCAGCAGTGTAACCTTCATGACCATCTGTCTCTGGGAAAGACCATGGTACTGGATTTTGCATGGTACCAAAAACATACAGTTTAATCGGGTCAATTACAAATAGATTGTGATTAGATTATGACTCAAAAAGGTAAATTACAACTCAATCTCGGAGCCAATCTATAACCTAAAACAGTTTGAATCGATCCAAAAATATTATGAAGTGATCCTATTGAG